CCCCCGTTTTACTAAAATAACAATGGAAATGAACTTTAGCAGTTTATTTGTCACTAATGCAAAAGTGGGGAAAAATCCTCCACTGAGCACATTGTGACCTAGTTTCAGTGAGTATACACAAGTGGGTTATAATACCTGAAAGAATAAAGCTCCATTTGTTGTTGTCCTTGCACTGGATTTCTTTTGAGTGGCCTACTTTGATGTTAGTTAATTGTCAATTTTCATGTCCTTTTCATTATTAATGATCATGTACGCGTGTATGTTTGTGTGTGCCACACAGCAGACTCCTCGGTGGCATATAGACTTGGAGCCCTGGGCCAGTGAAAGTCATTCTCTGGAGGATGAAGCTAAAAGGTTCCTCAACTACATCACAACACCACAAGTGAGTAATTATTGTTTGAATTCATACTGGTAATGAATATTTTTTATTTTATTTCATGTATATGTCAGGGACCAAGTACAATATTAAAAGCAAATGTTGTCATTTGCAGTGATGGAACATAACTGTAGTGAGTGCATTTCCTCAAATACTGTACTTTGGTATACATCAAGTTTAATAGTATAACACACATGGGGCATTTTTTTCTGCTTTGAGTACATTTACTTTTGATGCTTCAGGTACATTTTGCTAATAATAATTTCATAATGTACATTTTTAATGCACTATTTTTAATAGTGTAATAATAGTACTTTTTCTTCCATGTAGGGTCAAAATACTTCCCCTGCTACTGGCCATTCGATGTACTGTGCCAGAGTTAGCCTAAAGCAAATTTTCTTCTGCCCTCACTCTGATAGATCACATTTAAACGATACACACAGTGACGTGCTACATTAACCAAACTGAATAGCACACATGTAAAATTTATGCACAGTAGTACATTGGATATGCCAAATCAACAAGAAGCACATTAGGAAACTTAAAACAAATGAAGCCACAAAGTAAAGTACAGAGCAATGTGTTTACAGAGTTTAGTAGCTATTAGCCAAATTAGATTTTTTTTACAGAGTTTTAAAACTTTTCAGTTTTAAATGTCTGTATGTGTACATAATATACAACGTGTTGTCTAGTAAGCTTTAGAGATGCTGACATAGAGAGAGTCAGGCAAGTTGTTTCCCCCTGCTTCCATTTTTATGCTAAGCTAAGCCACTCCTGGTTCAAACATGAGATTTGTAACAATCTTCTTATCTAACTCTTAGCAAGAAGACAAATAAGCCTGTTTTCCAAAATGTTGAACTGATGCTTTAGAGCTTCAGATATAACTACAACTGAGTGAGAGTGAGGTGAGAGTTTAAAATCGAATGCTGACTGCCCAAATACAGTAGAGTTTGATTTGGGAGATTTGCAGAGCAGACAAACAAGATATGCAAGAGTATTGTGAAAGTGTGAAACAGAAAACAGGATTGTAGGTTTCTTGGCAAAAATTTACTCTGCTGAATTTGTGTGAGGAGAATCTGAACATCTCTTCAGCGGGTACAAGTTCCTGGTTGCTCGCTTTTCTTTGTTCCACTGTTAATGTGGTGTCTTTTATGATTTTCTGTACTTTTCTTACTCTTACTTATTTGTTGTATTGGCTGTACTTGATCCTTTGCTGCAAGTCCCATCATCTTAAATTGGCATCTACTGTTTTAACTAAAGATAAACTAAACATGGTAACCAGATGTATAAAAGTAGCATTAAGAAGGTAGTTTAAAGATAGATAATTGGAGTAGCTAAGGCCAGGAAGTGCATTATTTTGACAGGTCTTTGTTGTGTATATCAGAGCAAGCCGGTATGAATCAGCCTATGACTGAGCAATACTGGCACCTCTTTCACATTCAGCTCAGCCAGACAGTGTTTGTCTTGCTTGACAGCACACACATAATTCATTACTCTATTGATTACCATACAGATGGAACTCACAGCCCCTCTATTCATACCTAATCAATGAGATGTTGTGGTTTGTTGGTTTATGTCAGAATTAAATTACTACAAATCGATTAAGATGTTCAGCATCATAATTTAAGAAAAATCGAGAGCTTGAGAAAGCCTGAAATTCTGCGCCAGTGTCCCAATTGTGAAGGTAATGCAACAACACAGATTCATTTTCACTGTCCAAAACATAGAAGGACATTTTTAGATTATATGGGCTACGGTTTTCATTGTAATGAAATTGGCTTAGGGATAAATCAGCAACTTATCTTTTTCCCTCACACAATATAGTCAGAACACAGAGTACCCCACTCCAAATGACTAAGCACTTGTTCTGTATCTTTCACAAAGCAGACATTCAGCTCATAATGAATTAGCCCCAGGATGTGTATATGTGTGTACATGCGTGTGCAGCCCCTTGTGTGTATTTTTGTGTGTGTGAAAGGAATAGACAAGGACGAGAACATAGAGAAAAAGATTGTTTGAGTGTGTGTTTGTGGGAAGCTGTTAAAGGAAACTGTCCGTCATACACAGTGACAGGCGGGGGTGGAGGGAGTTGGAGGGCGCATAGCAGCATCCTCGGCTGTAATGCTGACTGACACAGTGCCTTGTGGAGCTCTTACTCAGTGGGATGGCCTGCGACACGACTGTCCAATCAATAGCAATCAGTGTGTCTTGCATGCATGCATGCACCAGCACACACTCAGATAAGAGGATACTTTTATACGTTCTGTAAAAGTACAACAGCACGACATGTACTTTATCTACTGTATCTGATTAGCTTAACAAGAATGAGTAGTTACTGTTCATTCGTTATAGTTTATGCTCAATGAAAAACATCCATTTTTACAGCTCACTATCCAGTTAAACAGTGTTCAGCAGTCAGCAGTGCAATGCCATGATGAGTCTGCAGATGTGAAAAGGCAAAATAATTAAGAGTGATTTTGCTTTTTATTGCTCATTCTGTGTGGATGAATCCTTTTAGCTGGAACACATTAACAATGACCGACACAACGGAGGCTGTTCCAAATTTACTTAAATACATTGTTGCGCCAAACCCACGTGCAATACAATTCTTGTGCACTTTGCAACAAAGACACATTGGGTGACTTTTATTCCTCCTTCATATGGTGCTCTTGACTGAGCTGGTCCCTTCCTGCCTGACCTATTGCTGAACACTCTGATTAGAGGGAGACACTTGTTCAAAAGATCATTCACCACCGTATTGTGGTGCACATTATTGTGACCTGGAGGAGTGTGATGGTGAGGGAGGAATGTCCTGCCAAATCTGAATCTGAGTGTTGCTTTGTTATTGGACTTCTTCTGTTCTGTGGTGCCTTCCTCTGGAGGTGTTCTGGGTACGTCCGGTAGAAGACCCCAAGTAGACAGAGAACATGCTGGAGGGATTTTATATCCCATCTGGCTTGGGAATCCCTCTGGATCCCTCAGAAGGACCTGGAAAACATTGCTTGGGGGAGAGCCATCTGGACTAGCTTGCTTAGCCTGCTGCCACCGCGACCCGGCCCTGTATAAGCAGCAGAAAATGACCAAATGGATGGTTTATTCAAAAGGCCACAGCAAGGAAACCATGCCTACGATGTTCTTTTGAAGCTGTAAAAAAATCTAACTCACTTGAAAAGTGAACCCTGCTGTTGGTCTAGGAATGAAAACAATCTCAACTGTCAATAGATGTGGTTTTATAAGAGGATGACACACAGCACTTCTCATTACCTTACAATAGAATCTTTTTGGAAAGCACTTATCATTAATTCATTCTTCATTGCTTTAATTTAACATTTTAGCAGCTGTAAAACATTTTCATCAGGTTTCATTTCAATGAACCTGTGAGTTTTAGACACAGTGATAGATAGTAGTAGTACACAGTGGACAATACAAGAACACACACATACACACATTTGCAACCATGCTATATTGTTTACACTTGAATGGTGTACAGTAGAGCCCCAGATTTATGTTTCATATCATCACGTCTGAACCAATATTGTTCCTTCCTCAGCAAACGGAATCGCTGCAGCAGACGGAGATTAAAGAAACCAGACAGCAAACATTCAATCAGCAACTCCTGTGCTAAAGCTTAAGTCACTTTTAGAACTGCAGATGTACAACACAAAATCCAATACACTGACATGTATACACATGTTTACTGTGTGTATGTACGCAGTTTATGCAGGTATGAGCTTTATATAAACATGGGAACTGACATAAACACTAAAGATGTTGCAGATTCTGGGTGAGTAGGAGCTGAGTTAAGCACACAGTTTCAAAGCTGAGAAGTAATTATAGCGATACTTTGGTTATTGTACTGTATTTTAAAAGGATTTTACATTGTAAAGTACGTAAAGAAGGAATGCATCAATCTCTTCCTTGTTGAGAGACTTGGCAGTGGTGCTGATGCATCCGCCCAAGCTGTGCATCATGATGAATATGCGTGTCGTAGTTCAACGCTGAGGCACAAACACACACTAGCCCAGGGTGGAATTCAGTAGCAGTTTCTAGTGATTTATAGTGTTTGTGTGATATTTTGAGAAAGAAGACGTTCATCACATCATGACAGTTCAGAAAGGGTCAGCCAAGAAGCAGCAATTGGCTATTAAATACTGGTATGATTATTTATATTCCCTAGCATTCAATTTACTGTCCTATGTGACTAAACCCACCCATTTGATACCTGGTTAGACCTATGCAGCTGAAGACACACAATAACTACCTATAGCAACATTTGTCTTAAACTCAAGAACATGAACTCTGCTGTCCTGTTTATGTCTGTTTCAACTTCAGATACACTCCAAACTACAGTACATAAAGTTAAAATCATACAGTAGATGACTCATGCATGCCACCTAAAGTATGTGACCATGACTGTTCACTTTATACAGAATGTTCACATAGTTTACAGATACTTACATTTTCTTAGTAATATTTGCATTTTTGTGCATCACCAAGCTCTGTCCTTCAACTCCACTAGGATGTCCTTGGCCCACATTTCTTTCTTTCAGAGGCTGTAGTGGACAGATTATTAAAGCTAGAGTGAAGATATCATATAAAACTAGCTAACCTAAGGCATCCATTGGTTCTAACCATGTCATGCTAGCTTATCAAGAAAGGTACTATATAACGCTCCAAATTTGGGATACATTTTGGTGAGGGAAAAACTGGCATGGCCATATTCAAAGGGGGGGCTTTGACCTAACATCAAGATATCTAAATGAATGAGTCTCCCCTTTCCGTTTTTGTGCATTCCGTATAAATATCTATTTTTCTTTCTTAACTATTGGAATTACAGAAGTGATCCTGTATATTATACTAATAGTGAACAGTGTAACTGGAAAGCTGAGACACTTGTGGATTCAATGACCCCAATTGTATTCATCTGTGATGATGTTAGTCCCCGTAGTAGCCATTTCATTGTAGTGAGACCAATTTTTGAAACTTGAAACTCCCTGTAAAAAATGACCTTTTGTGACCTCTAGGATAACAGCCTCATGAAACTTTACAACCACAAACTAGGAACTTAGGGCATTCACAGGATGTATGGCTTTCCAAGGGGGGAGCAATTTTCAGAACAGAAGTGTTGGCCATCCAATTGCACTTTCCACATAAATTTCCAATTGTCAAAGGTTTTCGTTACCAAATAAGCATGATCCTCAGGATCTTAGTGTCTTAATGTCTTATTTTAGAGGGACCATTTGTTTAAATTTTCGAGTGGTCAAAAATTGTTACATCCTGCACCAAATCTGTGTAACAAATTGTATCAACTCAAAAATTGTTGCAACAACCTATGAGACATAAATACATATGGGATTGACCATCACAGACCTCTATCATAATGTCCCATGCCCTAATACACTCTAAACTTTAAAAAACAAAAACACAATTTTTTTTACATATTTATGACTAGGAACTTGACACACAGTACTGAGCTGCATCTTAAATTATTCTTCAGGTTCCCAGCTTTCAGATGATGTACTTCTGTGTGGCCTGCTATCTCTCCCTAAAAATCCCCTGTCCACCCCTCAAAAAGACAAAAATGGGATCCATGGTAGGGAGGGGTGGAGTGGAAGAGGTTGGCAAGATGTAAGATGCTCTCTGCTCTTTGAGAACAGACGTATTGTGTTTACACTGTATCTTCAATATCGGGAATGGCTGTTATAATGTATGCATGTTTTTATGTGTCCAGGTGTCGTGTGCATCGCTGGCCATTGAGGAAGATGCTCAAGAGAGGACCAAGGGTGATTGGGCTGCGTGTCTGGACCCCAAGTACAGCCTGACTCACAGAATACAAAGCAAACACTGCAGGGTTTACTCTTTTGGGTGCGTATAGACAAACTCTTACTTAAGTCTTCCACTGCCCTTTCTCTAACTCGAAACTTTACCCTCACCACCACATGTCAAACATGAACCTTTATCTAACATAAATCTGATCCTAATTGTAATCACCTAAACAAAGAATCTACATCCACTAGCTTTGTGACAAACTGTCATCTACAGTATGTAGAGAAACAGGATTGTTCACAACATTCATTTTCAGACAATTAGTGAGATATCTGCAGATGTGACAGCTATTCAGAGCATCTGGTTCTGTGACAGGCGGCGTGATATATCATCATAGATCATAATTGCAGCCGTTGTTGCTTCACCCGTGACTATTTAGATTTTGTTTTTCTAAGAGGAGAAATTCAGGCTTTTCTCTCACTGTGCCATCACAGAATGAAGGCTATTTTCCACATTATAGAGGAGGAAGAGTGTCTCTGTCTCTATGTCCCCTGTTAGCCTTGTCTTTTTATGTCTTCCCATTTCAATGACTGTGTTGCTGTGACAAAGTTGAAATATTTAGCTGACATGTTTGGGCCAGGTAGCAGTTAGGTTCCTTTTTCTTTGTGTGATTATCCCGGTATTCTGGGAATACAATTGCTTTTTAATTTGTTAAGTAAAGATAATCCTCCCTCTGCCTTAACTGTACCTCCAACATCCACCTGGAACGTCACATCCACTCAACCTCTGCTTCCTCTCCTTGAGTGGCAAGTAATCTTCTGTCAAGTCAGCCGGGCCACCAAGGTATTTGACCTACTTAAGATTGGAGAGTCAATCACTCTCAGTTGGCTTTGTCTGGTGGATCAGCCCGGTTTCTGCCCCGCTGGGTCTGCATTGTGCTGAGGTGCTGCCGAGGTCCAGAGTGTCTGAAGGGATTTTTCTGCAGGAGAGAGGGAGCTTATTAATTTGACTGTTGAGAGACAGCACAGGTGTGCGGGCATGCATCAAGGCAGACAGGGCAGATAGTGATGTCGGAGTTAAGGGGGGGTGGGGTTATTTCTGCTTCTTATCATTCCATGGAGAAGGGATCAGGGGTCAAACGGAGAGAGTGGATGAAAACATACCTGATATCCTCTCACTGATTGATGGGAAGTCACTCATGCAGACAGGCTACAAGGACATGCACCAAAACTAAGGAATATTATTATGCGTCCTCTCAGTCATTTATGCAAACAATTTAACATCTGACCTGAATATCAGCTTGGGAAAATGTGACTCGCAGATTTTTCAAGTCAACGAAAGCTGCATTACCATTTTTCCTTCTATTTAAGTGATCTTGCAAGACCTCTGGAATTATTTTAATTCACGCTAAGTCGCCTCTCAGCTCTGGCTATTGCAATAACAGTGAATCAACCAAAAAAAGAACGAAATTCTATGAAAAACAGAAACGTTGAGTAACAAAGAGAAGAGTCCTTTAATAGTTTAACAAGTAGCACTGCTCTAAAAGAGTTCCACCTTTCTGGATATACCAAGCCATCTTCTCCTCCCCGTGTCCCCTATCTGACCTAGATTCACAGTACACACACACACACACACACACACACACACACAGACTTCTTGGTCACAGTCTTGAATCTATGCCAGGTATGCTGAGTATCCAATTCTTACTTCTGCTCTGCTGTACAGGAGGCTCGCAAAACCCTCAAATACAGTTCACTGCTGCACATACATCTGTCTTTAATAGAAATGTCAAATACTTTTATGTGTGCACGTATGTACAAGGTTAAATGCAGTGCATTGCTGAGTATGTACATTTGCGTGGGCATATTTTTGCGGGGTTTTGTGCATGTGTGTATGGTTGGAGGTCTCTTTTGCATGCTGTTTAACGAGCCGTGGACGGTCGTGCCTGGGCAGGATAAGCAGCTGTTCTCTTGTCACATGGTGGTGGGTGTGAGGTGTGGTGTGAGGTGTGGTGTGGTATGGTGTGGGGTAGGGGGGAGCGGCAGGATGTTTTTCCACATGAAAGACCAATTATCCACCTTTCACCTTTCATACTCAAACTTACCTCTCTCATCCATCTCCATCTTCCTCCTCTTATGCTGATGTCAATCTCTGAGGCTGGCTTTTTGATCATGTCGAATTTTTTCTCTGGATGCAGCAATAGGGCAGATGCTAACTGTAAAATTGTTTGAGAGGATGATTCATCTATTATTATAAATTTTAAAAAACAGCCCACATCATGGCCAATCTAAACAGGCATTGAAACATGTGCATCCACTCTGCTGCTGCACTTTGACTATTAGCATGGGTGTTTGTAATGCTGCAGCAACAAAAGGAATATTCACCGTATAACTATGGGCAATCGTGGCTCGAACCTCTACCCCTCTGTTTTCTTTGGCCTTCCTAAGCAAAATTAGGAGATAATAATAATAATTACTAGGACAACTGATCATTTTTTGTTGCAATTATGGCTACCCTTATTAGTAATTATTTTGTAAGAACAAGTTCTGATCTTCTTGTCAGCCAACACACTAGAGGATCACAAACTAAAACATCTAAATAGCTTGAGCAGTGTCAAAATATGTTAAACAGTAGACCAAAGGCAGCAACTTTTTATACTGCATAAAATACAAATGCCAGGTCCACGCTCAACAACTTTCCTTGCAGACTGTAGGCCCTGTAGCAGTCAATGTGTAATGAAGTAAGGGAAACACAGTAAGGAAAGAGAGAGTGAGAATGGAGGTGGAGAGACATGGAGACAGAAATATGTTGAGAACATACATGGAATAAAAATAAGAGAAGTAATGTCAAAGGTATAAGGGTATTTGAAAGGGAAAGAAACAGGCGGCAGATAGTTTCCCAGCCTGAACCAGCCTCTGAGCTTCATAACATCCAGACAGGCTATTGACATAACAGTTCAGTGCGAGGGCAGGCGGACGAAAGGCACTGTTTATCAGATTTACAATCCACTAGGTGTTTGTGATCCATCACACGCCATCGCATCTTCACAACTGGTTGCCATGACATTATAATCAACAGAGTGTTACCGCTCCTGCACTCTGTAGTCTCATGAGAGAGCATATTACAACTAGTAGAGACCCTCCTTTTATCAGCATCCAGAAGAGCTTTTGATGCACTGTGAGTCCCACTCCAGAGAATGGGAAATTCTCAATGAAATATTTAATGCGTGAAAAAGAGATGTCTAGTTGCATCTCAATCTCTCCCATATACTCATCTCTTATCTTCCTGCAAGTGAGACGCACTCTGGGACCCCTTGCCTTGTTCGTAAAAGACGTGTACTGTGAAATGCACTCCCACTGCCGCAATTACGGAATACAGCCGCAACACAGACTAGACACGGGGGAATGCACAAACAGCGACCGAGAAAGGCAGAATAGGAGAAAATTGCAGAATTAGAGAGGGGAGGGATAAAGAGAGAATAGCAGCGAGAGAGGGAGTGTCAATGTGAAGGAAACGCATGGAAGAGAGAAATGCAGGCAAATGTGTCTGTCTACTTAGATTTCACATCATATTTCATAAAAAAGAAGCAGATCGCTGGAGAAGGAAAGGTAGACGAGGAGAACAAAAGAGTAAGATGAAACAAAAGAGTACCTCCTGGCAAAAAAAAATCTATTTTCCTCTTGGTTGTTTTATTATGGATGTTTTGGCTTTTAAGTGGGCGGGTTAAATCAGGATCACAGCGACTGTGTGGTGTTTGATATGTATCTTGTCAGTATCTCTCTCTCTGTGTGAAATGACATTAGTGATACCTTGTGCTGATGTTCCTCAACATTAAGACCACTTGTGTCCCCTTTTGCTTCTTGGCACAGAGAGTATCTTTGGCTCAAACATTCTCTTTAACTTACAGTATAGCAATGCATGCATTGGCATAAAACAGGCTGCCCTCATCCTGCTTTGTGCTTGTAAGCACTTGCCTGAAAGGAAAGTAGGTGGCTATATTTTGAGTTGACAAGCCAGTCATTAGATTTCCCATGACATCTGACCCACTCCCATACAGTAAAATGCAGCAGACATCATTTGTGGGTGCAGTAATGTTTCAGAATGAGTTATAAAGCTACATTCATGCATCCATCTATCCATCTCTCTGTCAAGGGCTGGGTATTGTTTGAAAAATATTAATGCATGTGTTGACCCAATCCCCTATTTTCTGTTCCGGTACTAAAATTTCATTTCTTATGACCCCTTTTGAAATTTGGCCTGATCAAAGAATAAGTACACAAGATTACTTAGATGGAAAGGCATTCAGTGTCAGCTTTTGTTACAGTTGTCAACACTTTGAACCAAGAAAAATTGAAGTCTAATACCCAGCCTTGTTTTGGACATACTCTACCTGTCCTGTCCTGTGTGGGTTGCAGGTTGGGTGTGGATGATCGGTCTCTGGAGCATACTCTCACAAGAGCGGGATGTGAGGTCCACCTCTTTGATCCCAGTCTGAAGCAGCCTCACTCACAGCAGGCTGAAATGTGGCTCCATCGGCTCTCTGTAGACTGGAGGGATCCCAACCCGGCCATTGTCGTCCAGCGTCAGTACGTCAGCACCAAGAAACTGGCCAGCATCCTTAATGACTTTGGACATAGACAGGTAAAAGTCTCTGGCTATAATTTGTGAAGGATTCTGATATTATAAGATCACCTGGAACCAAAAGTGATTTTTCTTTCTGTGTCAGCTAGAGGGTTTACTTATATGCTGCATGCATGCAAACACAGGACCCTTCCTGTGCACCCCAACATAATACAGCTCATCATGATTCATTACTCTATTGTCTCTCTCGGGCTCCAGGTGGATAAACTCCCATATATCATTTTGTTTTCCTCCTTTAAATATTATCATGCAGAATGTTACCTCTTCAAAGCCCCCCAGAGATTTTGTTCCACCTCATCAGATAGGGATCTGCATACAAGATCAATCATATACGCACACACCAAGCCCACTGATAGCATGCATACTAATAAACACAGTTATAGATTCAGTGAACATGCCTGTTTAGGAACAGGCTGAATGATAATTCAAGGTCAAAGAAGCCAAGCTTCTCTTACATAGGTAATCAAATCCTGGCTGAGTGACAGTAAGTTTTTTTTTCTTCTCATGCCAATGAGTGAAACTTAGCTTTAATAGTTACTGATACAGATTACAGGCTTACAGATTCATAGTCTGCTAAATTAACACCTCAATTCCATTAAAGCCCCTCTTGATGTGATTATAGTACCTTGCAGAATATTCTGATGGCATAAAAATTATGTGTAGAAAAAGAAGTCAACTCTAATGAAAATTGGTGCAGTTTATGTGTTATTGTTTGGGATACCAGTGTGCCCTGCTGTCCTGTTGATGCTCCCACTTGGAATCACCACCGTCAGAAATTCAAATCCTACTAATAGGGGCTTCATTTGGGGATGTTTATTGTCCCCAGAGGGAGAATCCCAATGTTTGTAGTGACTTATGAACTACACTACCACCACTCAGTCAAAACATTTACGTCTATGCAAAAACATCAACATCGAACAGGGACGCTGTCATGAAATTGAACACTTTCATGTTCCCCAAATGATGAACTCTTGCCCTAGTGGGGCTCCGTGAGTTTCCACTGATACCAACTTCATGCCAAAGTATCTGCTTGACATACGAGATATGTAATTATTTGATACACAGTTTGCCTTTAAATTGGCTACCATGAAAATAAAAAATTTTCACCCACGTCTGTGCCCTTTGTGGTGCCGCTCTCAGAACACTCTCTACATTTTAGCAACACTACTGTTAAGCCTCTAGAAATAGGAAAGTTGTTATTTTGTTTGTTCAGTCCAGTAATTTGGTATTGTGAGGTACATTGCAGCTTTTCTTATGATTCACTCCAAATAAATTAGCGAGACCTAGTTAGCTGTCCATATATTAACAGTTAAATCAAAGCAGATTAAATCAGCTTCTGGAGCAGAATTCCTACACGCTGCTCAAATACGATTTGCCTTAGCTAAAGTTAAGTTGAGGTGATCATTCCTTTTCTGGAGCTAAAAGCAAAGCTGACCGGCTCATACGAGGGAAAGATTTGACGATATGTGTGACAAGACATAAACAAATAAATGTTGGCATGTGTATGTGTATGTGTGGGTGGGTTTCTACACCATACTGTTTCATCCACCTGTTTTAAATGCATAGCCACGCATCCTTGTAATGAGGTTTTAATGTGAGTACATAGTATGCCGGAGGAGCAAGCAGCAGCAGCAGAACAGTTTTTTCTCAAAGGCTCAGTGAAGAAACACAGTCACTTGGAAAGGTCGAAATATACATTGGCGCAGAGTTTCTTATCTGCGTTGGTTACAAACTGCACAGATGACTCATTCACTAAGCTCTGGTAACCCGCTGAGACAGCAGACGCTGGGACAAATGTCAGTAGCGGGAAGCCTCATCGGATTTTAAAAACGGCATACTGGACCACTGATCATATCTGTAATTGGACAAAACAACAGTATCAGATCGCTAGCACCTGTGCGGCTGTCCAAAGTTATTATTTATTACAGTTCATCCTGAGGGAAACATGAATGTCTGTACCAAATTTCATGGCAAGCAAATAGTTTTTGAGACATTTCATTTAAAACCCCAAATGACAAAAGGAAAGGTCAGGGGGTCACTAATGTCAGTAGGATACATTCTCTGGGAACTATGTACAAATGTTCACCCACTGGTGCCACTAGATCAGGTGATAACCAAAGTGAATAGGCTTCATCCTCTGAGGACTATGACTACATGCTCAAACCTGGCAATCCATTAAAATGTTGTTAAGATATTTCAGTCTATACAGCTAACCTGGCTAAAAACTGTGTGACACGGTGTTTTTTGTTAGTTTTTTATCCTTGCAGTTTTAGCAAAAGAAGGTGGTGAAAATATCCGTAAGTGAGGATGAAGCTAGGGCAAGCTGCATTGGAATTACGTACAATTATCTCACAAACTGTCTGTAAAAATAAGACTGAATACACAGGTCAAACAGGTTCCGACTGCGTCTCTGTCAAGAGGCTTTTGGGAGGCTCTGCCCTGAAGGCAAAGCAGTTTTTGAAGTGCCACCAAAAGCACAGAATCAGCAAACATCTGATGTGTAATTAAATATCTTTAATCACAATTTTCTCTCTAGTGGCAGGCTCAGTAATTAAAGCATATGAAACATATAAGAAAGGTCAGATAAGCTGTGATGTTTGGATCTCTGGTTTATAAGCAGAAGCAGTTGATGTACTGTGTCCAGAGCAATCATGTGGAACAACAGGAGACAGGAAATAAAAGGCATGTTAATAGCCAGGATTTGTCCACCATGAAATAAACATATTTTAGGCCAATTAAAATAGCAAAGTGTGAACTTCCATTTAAAGTTATTTTCTCAAATCAGCAAACTTGTTTACAAAGACTGACAACTTTTCATCAAAAGAGTCTCTAAATTAAAAATTGTCCCAATGTGCTGCGTAATCCTGAGGATGCATTACAGAAATAATTACCATGTGCATTTTGATCACATACTCTATGAGTCACTTGGAGGAGAGGAAATATTCACCCATTGTGTATAAAGACTGTCTGTAGCAATCTGACATTAATTTCTCAGCAGTGGAGGGCAGGAATTTCTGTGGAGTGCAAAGACATTTTACATAAAATATGCTACCGAGGCCATACAGTGGGGATTATCAGCTCTATTATTATAGATAGTGCAATTTGGTTTGTGATTGTTTTTGAATTTATGATAAGTTCTTATCAAATTTTCATAAGACAATTACAGTCAGCCATCTTCTTGCAGTTCAACTTTGATATCATTCCAAAGAATCTGAAAGTTAAAACTCTGCAAATTCTCAAGTGTGTATGGTAAATATGTAGCACAAGACGGTAAGCTTTCTTAGCATAAAGACTGGAACCAGGGGGAAACTGCTAGTCTGTTTACATAATATGCCTACCAGCACCTCTAAAGTTCACTATTTCTTGGCTAGATGCAGCAGAAGCTTACTTCCTTGAGTCTTCCCTGGTTGAAATAGTCCAGCACATACCCTCCCATAAAATGACCAATTGTGTTGTTATCCTTCTTTTTATTTGTATGGATAAAACAAACAAGTTCTGACATGTTATTTATGAGCGTTGGAGGTGCCAGTAGTAGGAGGATTTTGTTAGCAGACAAGCCTTTTCCCCTTTTCCACTCTTTATGTTAAGCTAAGCAGCAGCTCAACTATTCCACTTAAATGATCCATGTATTTTAGCTAAACTTGTTCAGTTTTTGATATACACAAAATCAGTCCAGTTATCCTCTAGTGTGTGGCCATCAGTACTTTGCTCTCCAGTAAGAAACTGTAATCATATCTCATTTCCTTCTAGCATAGTTAAGGACCGTTCAGCGTGGCTAATGCTGCACAGCAGCACAGCAAAAGCCATCTTTCCAAAGCTTTAACACCATATGGACTTTGCTCAGACCAAACAGGAGTCTTGCCAGGTCTTGCAACTTCTCCTGCAGAGAGAGTTGATATTGGCAGCATTGGATCAGGGACCATTATGTCAGAAAGTGAAAAAAAAAAAAGAATATTACATCTGTCAGACAGAATAAAGCTGTGTGAGCTTATAAATAACATCCATTCCTGACAAATGCACACAAACACAGTATGATACACAGACAGAGAAGAACTCTCCTTAGAGAGCAAGTGAATGTATCACCTCTTGAAGATGCCACATCATTTTAAATTACGAGGTTTCTGTCCAATCGAAGAACATATCTCTGCTTCTATGAGTTTTAGCAACCCTGGAGAGGATAGAGGACAACATTTGGATTTGTTCTTCATAGACATCCATTTTTTGAGTTTCAGAGACTTGTTCAATTCCACTAATGAGGGCTGGGAATTCTGCAGAGTCACCAAAGGCATCAATTGGAAGGGAATTTCATGTCCACTTTAATATCTGTGCTGTCACGGCGCCAGATTATGTTTTCAGTTTAGTTGTAGAAAAGTGAACGCTGCCCACAATTTACAAAACTACAACAGAGAGATAGAATGTTCCTGTAGTTAGTATCTTTAATGTAATGATCATTGACAGTACAATACCCTGAGCCTCTTTCTAAAACTTTCCTCAGGTCTTATCGCTACTAATTGAGTGGCTACATGACATACCAGCGGAGAAAATGCTTACTAAGAAATTAGTGAGCCTAGAAGGAATAAAAGCGCAGTCTCCAACGAGACTTTTAAACACATAGAGGTCAGATAATGGAAATCTTTAGCAGTTCAGTAGACTTAAGAGGAATTCTCAGTTCTTGACGATGTGCATTAAACTTTGGGCATGCATGAGTCTCCTACATGAATATGACCTACGGGTGCTATTAACATCCATCTTATGAAGCATTTCCTCTCAGCTTCAACACAGCAAGCCTTGTCAGGCTGCTCTCTCGCTCAATCCATCATCAGCATCGCTAAAGCAAGAACAAAGGCCAAGCTTCACTTACTCTATTTCATCTTTTAATAGCTTTTGCGTTCAATAATTCCTCACAGTTTAGAGTCATTTCAGTGTTATAACAGAACTCATTTATTACCTGAAGCAGAAAAAAACATCTAAAGTGATTCCCCCCCTGCTCTAGGTGGATGTACTGAAGGCGGATATGGAGAGCGCAGAGTGGAAGATTTTGGAGAATTTGGTCCTGGAAGGGGTTCTGGACTCAGTGGGTCAACTGCTGTTGGAGCTTCACCTGCACTGGGCGGGCTTTGAGGTGGGCGGCGATGACCCGTCCGTGGTGCGGTACTGGTTCAGCCTGCTCAAGGAGCTTGAACACGCCAGCTTCCGCCTCTTCCACGTCCACAGCGACCCAGCCAAACCTCGCCTCTTTCTGCACAAGAACGTCCTCAACGCCAGCAGTGCTTACACCCTGAGCTGGGTGAACACGGAGTGGAAGCCTTGAGGGAGGCAAGACTGAAAAAAAAAAGAACTGCTACCTTAGCTGAAACAGCCTCTGAATAGAAGTTTGTGTAACATGGATTTTTAAGTCCGAGCACAGTCTTCCCATACAGTTGGCTCTTATCTGGTCTGACCTTCATGTGAAGCTATAACCCCTGCTCTTACTTATCCTCCTGCTCTTCCTCTCCTGGTGTGTAATAACCTCAGCTGTGTAGAGGAGCAGAGTAATTGCCTCCAGAGGCTCTCTGGGTTCTACCCTCATAGTGGCTGTGTTATTGGCTGCAGGTCAGCCTCTGAGTCAGTCACCCATGTCATCATGGTCCTATCTGAGCTCGGCCCACAGCCAGATATTACAGGACCTTTTTCATATTACAATAGTGTGCACAGGTCCAGGGACCACAGCTCAATTTAACATGATTTAAAGGATTTAGATGCATGATATTAATAAAAAATTCAGCACCTTTTTTATGTGAATGTCCAGTCATTGAATAAGATATAATGAGTAATTGAAACAATTAATTCCTCAGCGTGTGCTATATAGTCAAATACTCACAGATAGCAGTAGAACTTGTTTCTGTATAACAATAAAGCTAATGCTAGCTGAGCATGTGATGTAGTATAAAATTCAGCAAAAGAAACAAACGGTTACCGACATCCAACTTCCTACTCTCATTATTTAGTTGGTTTCAATTGAGGCTTAACATTCACACTTTCATATTGTTTCATATCATTGGACCGTATTTACCATCAACACTGTTTGGACATACACAATATGTGCTGAATTTTCCTTTTAAAAGGGGGAAGGCAGATGAGAGATCCTGCCTCACTGCCAGTAAGTGAATATTTGCAGGAGGCCATCAAAGCTGCTTACACATAAAGACAAAAAGAACAAGCAGAGGAATGTGGATAATAAAGGTGAAGAGATGAGATCGGCTCCGGAGGCGGAAGAAGATGTGGGTGAACAGACGCTTCCCTGCAGTTGAACCCCGATATGACACTCTATAGAACACAAAACGCGTCAATTATGTGAAGCACGTCGACAGTGATGTCTCCAGATTTGTTCTCCGTTTGTTGGAAATTTGAATGGGGATGCGTGGGCGAGTGTGTGAGGAAAAAGAATTTAAAGAAAAAAAAGAAAAGCTGAACTCCAATTGTTTGGGGGTTTTTTTTGCATATTGCAGGTTTGTGGGTTAGAATAGAAAACAACAATTGAGATCCACACAAAGCAGCATTTTGTAAACTGTCATTTTCATTTTTCTTCGGTGTTCAATTGGCCTTCCTCCGTTATCTGTACTGCTCCAGAACTTCACTGACGTAAGTAATCTGAAAACATAACACTGGGCCAACACCGTTAAAAAACATTCACATATATAAGATCAATTTATGTTTAATAAAGAAAGGAGACAAATAATTGTCTGGGATTTCTCCTCATGATTTTGTGTTGCACAGGAACACATTTTCAAGGAGACGATACTTCCTTTTCATATTCTGAAGAGGTAAAATTAACAGAATGTTTATTTCCACAAAAGGATGGTCATACAATTGAAAATTAAGAGTTTTTACCAAGGATTACAGAGGTATACCACTTAGAACATTGCAAATTAAAATAACAAAACACTTAAAAAAAAAATGCCATGGTACCCCTCAAATATGCCTTTTGCAGTAGAAACATTTTTTAAAAGTAAGCTTGTATTCATCTTTGTACAGATAATACATGAATACATATTTTGAGCTCTCACGACAGGATACAAAAATACACTGTTACAATAAGACTGGATACCAGCCCTGTGGGTTTCACTCAAGGTTTTTCACAAAATCTATGGGACAACAGTGAATCCATTCAGTTCTATCCATCAATTCCCAGAAGCTCAAACGCACAGACGTGCATACAAATACACGGTAAATCTAGTCCCAGAGTTTGATTTGTCCATCCCAACCACACGTGATGACCTTGGAGGTTTCATGTGGATGCCACAGTGCGCTGATGCACACCTTGTCATGAGCCTTGATCCTGTGGTAAAGCTTGGTGGTCTTCCAATCCCAAATGTTCAGCTTTCCATCTGCATCTCCTGACACCACATAGCTGGTAGAAAGGAAGAGGTCCAGGAACAAACCAAAAAAATAGGGAGGGAGAGAGCAAAGGAGAGGATGGAAAGATTAGTACTTTGCTAAAAATGACTTCTGTTTCCACTTCACCTGCCAAAAGGTGGGAGTCTGAATGTTTGGCAATTCAGTCCAGCCAGGAGTTAGTGTTGTCATGGATACTGAACGGGAGTTAGGGCACCTGCTCAGTCGTGGGCGGTGGTGGGTGAGAGGAGGGGAAGAAACAGGTCTTAATGGGTGTTTAGGCTAAAATTAGGGTGCTGGACCGTCCTAGTTAGCTCTCCTTGTGGTGCTTATACATTAGATAATATTAAGAGGCAGTTTTCCACAGCTCTACAGCAACTGTAGGCATTTTAGAGGACAGGAGGCGAGCAGAGGTTATCTGTTTTAATATACTGAGCATCCGTGTGATGTTGTCTCGCTGCGTCTTCAACCATGTTTTACCACTTTCATTGTCCTTTACTGAGATAAAGTGATACATTTTGTTTTCTTTTGACACTTTCCACTCATTAAGACATTTCCAACCCTCTTCACAGAGAAACACATGAATCTAATCTCTGCTAACTGAGTTTTTCATTTCTCTGGCATATTTTATTTAATCAGTTAAAAACTATCAACTATTGCAAACTATTAATCTGATGTGAGAGTCTCAGCTGTGTAATAGCGCCCTTCATTGGAAAATTGAGTAACAGAGTCGTACCTCATGTCTGGGGAGAAGTCCACTTGGCAGGCATAGCCAGCCACCATGTGGCCTTTGAAGACTTTCTTTTTGTTCAGTCTGAAGCGGTTTTGGGCCCCAAAGATCAGAATCTGGTTGTCCATAGACTGGCATGCTAGCCATTTACCTGGGGTTAAAAAAAAAAGAAAGCAGCATGAAGCTAACAGCTAATCTCATGTGGTGCTGCTGTAGTAACATAATCCAACATGCTTAAAAAACAGTGCAACAAACCAAGTGTCTATTCAAGTACTGAAAGTGTCAGAGGTACAGCATAAAACATAAAAGAGGACAGCAGTTTGTGTTAGCAGTAACAAATTTCAACATGCAAACATTTCGAAGCTTTAAAGTCTGTCATAACAAGTTTAAAAGTGCCTATTAGCTTGCTAGTTTGTCTCATTAACATGCTTCTGTTCAGCCAAATGTCTAACAAGCAGCCACTAGTATCTTGGATGTGGTATTGTGACATTGGCTGCCGCTGCTGTTAGTATGCGCTAAACCTGGCAGCCACTCTGATCTAGCGAGACACCAAGTAGAGTCAGATACTTTTAACAGGTACATAATAATTGGCGGAAATATGCCTCAAGGACAGAAAAAAAAGTGGTAATTTGAGTTTCAGTGGACGACACACTGAAAAGGGTGAGACCTCATCATTCTGCCATCATTAAAACGGGAAGATTGAGGCAATTTAGAGAAAAATGAAAAGAGGTTTTTCATCAGCGACTGCTCAGTTGAGATATACTTTACAGAGCGTTTCAGCTCCTGACACAGCCTCAAAATCACAACACACTGATAAGAGGCAGTGCTTCAGTGTCAACGCATTACACGACTCACTGCACTTCTTGAAAGGAAACATGATGGAAATTATTAATGTGGTATGAGAAAGTGTTGGTGTTGGTGGTCTAGTGTTGGTGTGTACCCTCTTCTTAAATCCTCCCTCACAAAACAAACGAAAAAGATACTATTGTCCACAAAAGTCAAAAGCAATAGGTGCAAGAGAAAGAAAAACAACCTGGCCAATTTCCCCGTTGCACTCATGCTTTGTCTGTTTCGTTAAGATGGCAAGAGACGGGGGCGAGAAGAAAATAGGAGACAGGCTGCGGATGCTATGCAAAGGGGGGGGGGGGGCATTTAGGTGTGAGAGAAAACTGAATGGTCTCCCACTGAGAACACATTCATTATTCACACGCTCAAGAGAAACAAATCATGTTGGGACAAATAAGAATGCTGCCCAAAAAAGGAAGGAAGAGACTAGAGAGAGTGCATGAAAGGGAGAAATCAAAGCAGGCAGAGAGGGAAAGAACAGATGATTACAGAAGAGCAGACACTGATGATAGCTGAAGCTGACTGCGAGCAACACGGAGTTCCTGATTCAAACGGAAGCGTTGACATTTAAGAGGGAGACCACCTGTTAATCCTGGTATCGTTTTAGATTTAGGCCACTGTGTCAATAAATGCCTTCTTTACAACTTTCACTCACATCTGTCGAAATTCATCACTTCAGCTGCCAAGCAGCAGGTTTATTCTACGCTTAAACTGCTGTCATGTCAGCAAAATACTCATTTGCCCAAATCCTGATCTGAATACTTTCTTATTAAGCATCAGCTAATATGGATACAGCACACTGCACTACCCTGGCTCCGCAGCGCAACACACTCGCTATGTTTGAAGTCTATTGGATGAACGGTTCCTGACAGAATCGAAATACAAACAGACAGACAGAGATTCCTGTCTTTATTAGAGAGATATCCCATACTGTTTTGTATATTATCTGTGGAGGGAGGAGTGCATCGGTTCATCTCAAGCTCGAACACTGTCAGAGAAATATCACTGAAATACAAGGTTCTTTCATTTTAATCCAAAAAATCCTCTCTCATCCCTCGCTGATGCCTGCTGACATGTCATTAATTGAAACTGCTGGCTGCTGTGAGCTCTACAGTTCACTCCCCTCACAACAAGGAGGTGTTAAAAGTGTTTTAACAGAGCTCACTGCGCTGTTTGTGAAAGCTGGCGTACCCACAGCAAACAGACAAAGCATTGGAAATGGATCCGACTCTAGACCGCGACTGCCCCTCCCTCCCCCCTTTTAATTCTTCTGAGCAATGACAAACACTGGAAGGTATGAATACATTTCAATCTGCCAACATCGGTTTAAGCTCCCCAGAGTCCTCTGTACTGTGTGCGTGAAAGAGAGTGTTTTGCCATGATTTGACTACTCACCATTGGGAGAGAGTGTCACAGCTGGCATGGAGTGCATACTGGGCTCAGCGATGTACTTGAAATCCACAGGGATGTCCCTGAAAAAGACACAAAGCGCTGTGACTACACTTGAAGTTGGGTTAAACGCTGGATGAGAGAGCCACCTCAGCAGCCCCCGAAAGCAACTCAAAAGAAAAAAAAAGAAAAATTCACAAAGCTGTAGTTTTGTTTACTATCGCAGCTGATTATGCCGTCTCCAAAATGCTTGTTGCTGAAGAGAAAACAGCTATGGTGAAAAACCAGGCAGGACAACCATTACAGCTACAGTATGTAAATAACTCCATGCAATCTGAAAGGGGTTTTTGATGCTGCACTGGCATCCAATTATTTATTAATCCGTTCTTCGTTCTTTCGCAACCGCCTCCCTGTTCTTTTATGCTCTGCTATGTCTCTCTGCTCGGCGAGGAGATGGGAAACTTGGCTACTTGATCTTAAGTGGTCTGCAGAAGATCATTCAGATCTACAGTGCTGTGTGTGTGTGTTTTTTCTACGACTGACCTGCTAGACTTGCCGTACATGTGATTGAGTGTAACTAATGTGTCTTTTCGCTTTGCTCTGTGTGTTTGCATCAGTAAGTGCTAAAAAGTTCTCGTCTTGCTCCATCTGCTTTACCTAAAGCCATGTGTCTTTCAAGTGATGAGCAACAGAGGACCAAAAACGGGCGAAGAACTAAGGACAAGAGTTAAGCTAAATGCTCTTGAATTCATGTGCGGGCGTACCATCAGACATTAAAAAGGGGTCCCTGGGATTGTCAGAGCCAATATCTGCAGACTAAACCCATGCAAAACTCTGAAAGATAACAAAAGCCATCAGATCTCTTCTTCGGAGCTCCAGAAATAAGCAGTGGGAATGCTCTGTTGTCTGGAGAGCGATGGTAGAGGAAGAAAGGAAAACATAGGACAGTCTATACACCAGGGATGTTCATGAATAATAGATGACTGATTGTTGTTGTTTACGATGCGTCATGTCGATCAAGATAGGGGACAAAGATGAAAGCACAAAAAAAAAAAACTTGAACATGAACCTCAATGCTACAGAATAAGCTAAAACCATGTTGAATAATTCCCCTCGCTGGCACACTGGCACATTTTATATTGATTGTAATCCTCCTCCAATGCAGACACCAACTCACCGCTTCCTGATTATAAACCTTGGTACAGATAAAGTAGCCTCCCCAAAAAACTTGCGTATTAGGGTTGGGTATCGTTTAAAATTTTACGATACCAGTACCAAACCCAGTACCCTTAAAGTGATACCAATACCAATTGAGTACCTCATTCGATACCTTGCATAAAATGTTGTCTGTTGACATGTCACCTGATTGGTAGCTTATTATTATTTTTATTGTTGTTATTTTCTTGTTTCAAACAACTGCAAGAAGTATTGGTAAATTGTATCACATTGCTCCCCATCCTAATTAGGTCATCCTCATGGGTAGTATTAGCATATAAGGGGAAGGACTTGGGAGTTATTTCATATTTGAATGAGAGAGAAGTGAAATAGTTTAGTGACCAAATAGGTTGTGGGAAACGAATATAAGGTATTTTTTGATACTTGTGTTGAAAGTAAACAATGGAAGATTATTTTTATTAACTTTCGTTCAATAAAATGAATTGAAAGATCTCCCCGAGTGCTTTTTCCTTTAGTGGGAAAATAGGACAGTCAGAATAAAACGAGAAAGCCTTCTGTTTAAACAAGTCACGAAACTACACTAAAGATACAAACAGAGGAAGAGAAGGCTTCAGGTTTAGCCGATCAAACCAACTACACCTGAAGCAGCCGCAGCTGCAGCCGGAGGTTCGTCAGTAAAATCAGCTGATCGCTGCTGCGCCAAGAAAGCGTTTCATTGATGACGGAACGCAGCGATCGATCGGTGACAAGTGATGTGAATAGCAAATACAAATGTACAGAGAAGTGTTAACTGATACCAGAAGATGAAACCATCGGAAAGCCAAGCTTGGGGTAATAAACAGTGAGGAACATGCCTGAGACCGCAGCCGAAGGTGAGCGGCTGTTAAAATCACGCGTGCACACCTTTTTTATACAGTTTATGGTGCAGACACATAAGGGGGAAAAAGACGTGCTCTTGTCTTCCTTTCGGTGTGTTGCTTGCGTGTTTGGCTGCAAGCAAAACCATACAAATAGTCATTTTTTGCCGCGATCTGGTTACAAAAAAGCAGGCCTAGGTATCGATTGAAGTACTAGTTTGACTGGAGACGTTTCGGTTCTACTCGATACCGGGCTGTTTCGGTCGGTACCATAAACGTACAGAGTAGCGATACCCATCCCTAGTGCGCACGCGCGCGTGTGTGTGTGTGTGAGAAAACGAGGATAGAACTGGCATTATGAGTAGGTGTTTGCATCGTGATGTGAATGACTAGTAGATCTGCTGGCTCACAATATTTTTTATCCATCCGGCGGCGGCATCCACCCTCCTCTATTCTGGAGATATGAGACTGCTCTGGTAAAGTCAGCCTAATGATACAATCTAGCCGCTCTCACGAAGGGGGTTTGCTAGAGCTGGGAGCCAGGCGGTGTCCGTGGGAGAAAGAGGGACAGTAAAGCCACTCTTTGACCCAAAATTCCACTTGCCCCGCTCGCTCCCACGCTGCACTACAAAAGCTCCCGGGAGTGTCCTTCCCACCGAAACTAGCATACAAAGTAGACTCTTGGGATATGGTTCTTTTGCTTTATGTTGTTCTGTCGATGTTCAACTCTGAGTGTGTGTGAAAAGCCAAGCATGTTTTCAGGAGTTAATCCCCATCAAGAAGGGGCAAGTGTTCATCCTTGAATAAAAAGCCCCTCTTCCAAGAATCCAGGGAAAGCTTCCTTTATCAGCTGGTCTTTAAATATTTATCTTCTTTGAGCAACAAATACCAGAGAGTTTGTTTACCACCACCACAGGAACCCATAGCCAATCTGCAAAGCCGCTGTTGGTAGTCTCTCTTGATTGGCCACTGAGCACAGACAAACACTGCAGCAGTAATGACAATATCTAAATGAATAGCTTGTGGAAAACACAAGTGAATGTGATTTATGTTAAGAACACACATGCAAGGAAAATTACGTTACCTTTTCTGACCTGCCAATAATCCCAGCATGTCTGCCTTCCAATAATTAAATTTGTGGAACCATTTCAAAATGCTTATTTATTACAATATACAATTGGCAAGAGGGACAGTCTCACAGGGTTTATTGCTGGAGTGTTGTCAATGTATAATGTTAGCTCCGGGGGGGGGGGTCTCCCACTGTAACAGATGCATCTAAAGCAGGCAAACCGTGGCAGAGGCTATGACTCAGAGCGGATCAGCAGCACAGCCAGGTGAGCTTTGTCCAAGATCGGGTCATTTGGAGGTTTGTTGATGTCTACGCTTCTAATGAAAGGAACATTGTGCCAGTGTACATTTTCAGAAGGCAGCAAACAGTACGCTGGTGATATTGTTTTTCCTTGTTATTACAGAGGTTAGACAAAACATAAAGGTACTTGAGTAAAATGTCCCCTGCCTTAACCTTTACTTATGTCTTTCTCAAGACTGACTTGATACTATCTAAGCACTTGCATCTGAAATAGATGTGCAATATCTACTTTAAAAAAAAGTTGGTTGACCGAAAATGAACACTGAATGTATTGTCATCAAGCTGCCAAATCAAAACACACTTTAAGGGGATTATGTGCCTTGTTCAGAGTCACTACAAAAAAACACAAATTCAAACTTTCAGGCTGTAGTCTGGACTTACCACTCCCAAACTCGGAGACTCTTGTCGTCCGACGTGCTGACGAAGCGACGATTCTCATCAACAAAAGTGATGGTGTTTACTGCTCCCAGGTGACGGTCGTACTCCTGAACCACCTCACCTGTCCTGACGTCCCACTGACAGGGTGACGCAAAACAAAGGCGCAGAGAGCAAAACAGACAGACAGGAGGTAAACACATTTATCTATGACAAGTCGTCATAAAGTATAAATAAAGTGGAAACTGATTTCACTCCACATTTATCATTCTCCTGTTGGGTGCTGATTACCAAAATAAATACAACTTTTCTTACTGTAGTTTCAAAAAAAATTTAAGATAACTGGCAGGGTGGTGGAAGACTCACTGAGAAAAGTTTTTAATTGTGCTAAGGCACTCAAATGACTTCACTGCAGTGGTGTGATGACTCAAAAAAAAAAACCCATCATGCACACATTAAAATGTAAAGGAAAGACAACCACATAGAATCAGCCCCCAAGCAACAACAAACAGATTTTACATCTATTTATGCTCTCTTTAATCATAGACTTCAGCTGCTCACAGGAGCAGCCATCTGTTCTCAAAACCGCAAAGAGAGCTGAATGATTTAATATTCACCCTGATTATTGTGCCAGGTATTTTGATAATGACTGTTGTTCATCTGGACAATTAGGGGACAAACTATGTCCCCGTTACATCAACATCTTGACATATTTTCAATTAAAGATGCCACAGAGTTAAATGATAATAACAGTTCCAAATTAGTTCAACTCCATGATTATGAATTGTTAGTAAATAAAATAATATTCCTACAGCAGTTAATCTGTTCCCTCAGCATGTTGCTGCCACAAAAAACAACAACTTTCATATTTAGATGTTCAGGGTTAGATGTTCTAAAAACTGTTTACCTGGCTGTATAATATCATAGTTATGGATTTCCTACTTTTGTCACAGATTGTTCTGCTTCCTTTGCCTCCCTTCTACCCTAATGCCGCCCATGATTAATGACTTCCTCTAATCCAGTCAGCCACTGAACCTCTATCCACGCACACACAAATAGTGCTGGAAGATGAGATGGGGAGTGCATTTCATGCTCCTGTGGGCACAGGGGGTTGTACACAGAGACGCATGTGTACATCTGCTTGGTCAACTGGGGAGCATACATAAAGTGAAGGTGGGAGCCGAAATGAATTGCTTGCAACGCAGTGCATGGCAACTTTACCTGAACAATCTTTTTATCTGACATGCCGGCCACAAAAAGATTCTGTTTGTCCTCGTCTGGGTTGAACTTGACGCAGTACGGTACCTTCCTGTTGGTGAAGCGGGAGATGCACTGGCCTATGGTGGGGGTCAGAGCAAATTGAAAGTCAGAGCTCCAGAATAATCCACCGTGGCTTTTCAGAAAGGTACACTCAAGTTGCTTAAAATGTAGGGAATCAGACTGCAACTTTCAAGGCTTCATGCTCTGTCCCTGCAGGCAGCGACAGCTCAGCCGTAACACAGAAAATCCAGTGTTTCTTTGTATTCATTCAGCAGAGGTGAATCACAGCAGGGAAGGATGCTACCATTACTGCTAGAGCTGAGAGTACAGGAAATTAAACTACTTTCTGTGTTGCATCCAGTGTTTAACTGCAACAGGGACAAATGTGGAATGAAATGCTAAAATGACCACCTACGCTTCACTGCGCTGTGCAGCTGCAGGAAAGAAACAACAGTTGACATTTATACTTAAACAACTGCTAAGAAAAGTAAGGAAACCATTAAATTTAACAAATTGTAACTGTAGTAAATCTCTAACAGAAGTATTTGGATGATGTGGCTTCAAAGGGGATTGTGTTAGCAACAAGTGGGGGGGATTTTACTCTTTTCTGCCCTCTGCTGGATTGGCACTCATGAGTCGAGAGGGGTGGAAACTGAGTTGAATGAGCAGCAGTGGGGAAAGATAGCAGGCATCCATGCGGCAGTGAGATCGGGGGCCCAACATTTTATAAACAGTTCACATAGATACACTTAAAAGCAATCTCTTGCCATTTCTTTTTACAATGGGCCTCACACTCCTGTCTATGATATTAACGAACGGGGAGAGCATGAAACCCCATCAGTGTTTCCCCACATATAGATTTTACTTGTGCGGGCCGCCCAGGTATATTTGGCAACCCAAACCCACTTTAGCATTTCGCAGAGATACACAGCGAGAGATGTTATCTGGTATATGTTACAAGATGCAGACATGGTGGATATTTTACAAGTACCGACCAGGTAGCAGTCGACACACACCAGTGCAGATGTCATTCGGTAACACGGTGGTTTCCTTTAGGCTTCAAAGCTTTCACCACACGTGGCTCTCCTGCTGCTATGGAAACGCGAGTTGTGTTTTTTTGGTTGACTTGATAAAAAAAGACTGCGGACAAATGAAGTAAGACATATCCAGGGAGAGAGACAGGTGTGGGTGTGTGCGTATGTGTCGGAAGAGAAAAGCATGGGGAGCAGATAATAGCAGTTTGTGAGTAGTAAAAGTAACGAAAACAATAAAAAAAATTTAAAATAAGGTGGGAAATTAAGTAGAAATAATCTACAAGAAACGAGGTTTTCTATTCTTTCAAATAAAATATACAAATATAAACCCAACCACCCCGTCGCCACCACACTTACAGAGAGTGAACCCTACTGCAGTTTATTTTCAGTTGGATGTGTTTGAGTGAGAGAGGGTCCTGTTACCTGGTGCAGTTTTGGAGAATATGTAAATGTTATTTAACAGTAGGGATGCACCCATCCGATCCGGATATCGTCCTGATACTGACTCAAATAGCTGGATCGGGTATCAGTGGCAAGGGGGATGATGTATTCAATTCAATTATGCTACGTGGGTGCTACGTGATGAGTCAGCAGTGTGCCAGTAGACCCGAACATTATGCTAGGAGAGCTAACACAGCGTGGAGGGAGCAAAACACAGGGGGTCAGCAGTTTGGAGGTATTTCACGCTCGTGTCTTCCCTGCAGTGAGCAATGCAGCTTATTCATTTTACACTGGTATTGGATCGGTACTCGGTATTGGCTGATACCCAGAGCCCAGGTATTGGTATTGGGACTGAAAAAGTCAGATTGGTGCATCCCTGAACATACAATTCAGTAGGCCCCAGGAAGAATAGCAAGTGCTTTTGGTTGCAAAAAGTTACAAAAATATAACAATTCATGTCAATTATAGTTCTTAGAAAGAAAATAAAATTGTCAGGCCAGACCTTAAAAAAATAATCAACTGAATGACTGTACACCAGCAGCCTCCTACTCAAGCTAGCTAAGTGTCATCTACATCATTTAGTTATTTACCTCACTGACAGTGAATATTTATGCATCTTACGTGCCTCAAATCTCAGTGTGAAAGCCTTGCTTATTAATATGGTTGTTTTTAGTTTCTTATTCTGCATAATTTAAATGACAGAAGCTAATTCAAATTTATTGTCATCAAAAAGGAATTTACAATGCTGCCAAAATGAAGAAACTACAGTTCTCGCTGGCGCATCTCTCACTCCGAGACATACAAATAGACAGACTAAATGAAGTAAGACATTCATGCGGCGTACCACTGGTTTAAAATTTTTCAAGAACAACAACAAGTGGTTTTGTGAACCACAGAAAATCGTTGTGTAGGAGTGTTAGAGCCTACCTGTCTCAGAGTCCCAGAGTTTCAAGTAGCGGTCATAGGCAGCACTGAGGAACTGGGTCCCGCTGTTGTTGAAGCAAATGTCTCGCACTGCTTTGCTGTGGCCTAACATAAACAGAGGAAATTTGCACTTATATTACAAACAAATAAATAAATATACGCTAGAAAGATGCACTGAAATGTTCCCAAGTCTTGTTACCATGTCTCTCCCGAGCTGCATTCCTTTGATACCCAATTCATTTGAGGAATGTAAAATCTGGTTAACGGATATAAGGGATGTTGAGGAAGAAAGATGATGTGGGCTGTGAGAGATGAGGGAAATGGAATCTTTAAATGAGCTTGGAAGTGGAAAGAGGAGGAGAAAGAAAAAAGACTGCATGCTCGATCGGCCTTTTCAACTGTTCTCCACCTTCTCTTATTCTCTTCCTAATCCCAATCTATGCAACCCTTTGGCTCTTTCTCATTCCGTATAGGTGATGCGAGGTCCCCGTGGGCTCGGAGCACACAGACGCCTCCCTTGTTAAAACTGGCTTTTATCAGGGCTACACTGTTTCCACGGCGATAACAGAGCCCACTGAGGCTAAGCGCCTGCATGCTTGCTTGCTCTAACCCGACTTGTTGGCAAACCAAAGGCACCGCTGCTGCAGAAAGCCTTGATGGTGTGTGTGTGTGTGTACGTACAAGAAAACACAGAAAGCAGGTCACAAACGTCATCAAATACACCCGTAGTCCCAGACTGCACATAACATAACTGCACGTAATGACATGCATGATCATTCACGTACATCCCCGTCTTAATGCTTGATACTGCTGACAAACAACAATGGTGTGCAGTCGCATTATAAATGAATGGCTTAAAGATTAAATGCAACATTAAGCAACAAACACATTTTAACAAGAGAAGAAATCCTCATATTTTAAACAAAGAGGTGTGCTTTCTAAAGATCTGAAAATCATCCAAACACATAAGAAAATAAAGAAATAAAATGTAATACCTAGGAGGCAAAAAAATAAAAAATAAAGAAAACAGAATAATTTATTATACAGATGATGGAACTGAGAGCACAGCAGCAACAACAAAGTGAAAACCAAATATGCTCTAAACAACATGGCTGAATACTTCTAACACTCTGTCAGTCGCTCTGTCAGTTTATTCAGTCTCAACTCTCTTCATCAGGCCAACTCCTCTCAGTACCTTGTGCCCTCCCCTCTCCCCTCATTCTTCTCAGCCCCTGGGCTGCTGAATTATGCATATTCTGTGAAGGAGCTGACAAGCACACAACCACAGCTGCAAACAATCTCTATTCAGATGGTGTGCTGTCTCTGGGAAGAGTGGAAGAGTGACCTGCCCGCATTAGCCTAACCCCCCAGACCTCATCTATTCCACACACAAACACAAAAAAAAGGTCAGCAGACGTATGATTAGAGTACCAGTAATGCTGAGCTCACAGTCCGTCACTGCTGTGTATTTCCGACAAACATTATTTCATGTCAGCATGTTTGCTGATGACCCATTGTTGTTTATAAAATGTTATACTTTGGTGGTAAATTTTGTAATATTCTGTTATTATGACCTACTGTTACCATTTATCAAAAGTTTACCACATCGAAATTTAAGATCACTTACCAATAAACGTCCGTACACATCTCCTCTCTGCATACACTTCCCACAGCTGTGGAGAAAGTACAAGTGAACACAGGTTTGAGATGCCAGCAGAAAAACATCTAATGAAAACAGAATTGGGGTGTTGCCAAAATGAAGTTCTGCTTTTAGTCTTGATCACCACAGTAAGTGAAAGACAGTGTCTGTGATTTTTCACCTTGATTTTACAGTCCATGGAGGAAGAGAGCAGCAGATGACCAGAGTTAGGAAACAGTCGGATAGCACTGACACCCTGGAAAAAATACAGGGAGAGTAGAAACTGATATGCATCTAATCATATTTCTTATTATCATGAGTATACTAATCATTGCCACAGGTCCAAGCAAAATTGATGCAGTAATGCCATTTTATAGATTTAATCTTGTACAATAATTTTGGCCAGTCTTATGAAACAAAGTTGCACTACAGGGGACAGACAGACTGCAGGTACTGCAGGTGTGTGAGGCACAATCCTTAACCAAACTATTAAAAAGAAAAGGCTGAAATACATCTCAATTTATCACTTACAATGTGCTGTGTATGTTCATACTCTTGACTTAATGTGGACATGACCAGACGATTAATTTTAAAGCAGTTTATAAAGAGAAATATCCGCTGAGTCATAATACAATAAGGGCAGATAAGAGTGTGTGTGTGCAGACAATGCTGCCTCTGTAATAGTCTGACTTTCAAGTTACCAAACTTTCTCCCAAAAAATGTCACAAAACTTTGGTGACACCGTATGGGCCTTCCTCAGTCTATTATCTCGACATCAGCACTTCCACACGCTTATTATCTTCTCAAACTTCTTTGTATTTCACATTAGACTCTGACGGCTGTAACTTCCTGCACAAAGCGGATAGAAGCTAATTTAAAACTTGAGTGATTTCTCTCTCCCTGAAGCACACTTGCAGATCTGACGCTTGAATCTGATCTTTCTAGGAATAACCCACTGTTTGGCTTTATATTTAAATTATAAAGACGGTGTTGAGAATGAGACAGAAGAATCTGGCATGTCAGGGACAAGCGGCTCGTATATGATGTGTTATCATTTTATTCAAAAGTACCCAGGAGGTTTTTACTGACTGCATCAGAAATTCTTATAAGGGCTGCTTAATGGAATTTTCTCTCTGTGTATACACAGACACATGTGAGACTCTACTCTCAATTTGCATTTTAGAATTATTTTTGAAAAACCACTACAATACTAGAACTTACCATCGGCTGAGACTGCATAGAGAATACTTGAGAGAATTCACCTGCAAGATGTCTTAACTAGTACATAAAGGAACAATCTGTACACAAAGACACGCCAATAATCCGTGTCCTTTCCCACTGACCTTGGTGTGTCCAGACCAGACATGAATCTGTTTCTTAGGCAGGTAACACTTGTCTGGAGCATCCGCAGAACGCAGGTTGATGCCCACATCCTGTGGGACATGGAGATAGGACCTGCCCTGGTAATCATACATGTCTTTAACTGGAGGGGGAGAAGAAACAGAGACAGAATGTCTGGTAAAAACAATCCTGCAGCATTTGAATACATGTTTTTAAAAAGAAGTTTCAGCTTCCCGTAGCATTTTTCCCTGAGGTGGGATTAAATCCATGACCAGCAAGAGCAAATATGGCTCCAGAGACAAGAGTCTTGATACAGTATCATAACTGGACACATGGAAATTTGATCATCTAGAATCCCATGACAACTGGGCAAACTTAATATGCCGAAAAAAGGTGGTGGAGTTTCGACTTTGAATTTTAACGCCAAAATGGACTAGAGGCCCTTTTAGGGATGAAGATCATCAGTAAATCATTTCACTGAGTATCAGCCATTCAAATGTCTCAATTAGAGCGGGCCACAGTACCATGGAGAATGGTCTTCTCCTCTGCAGGAGCATCTTCCTCGTTCCTTCCTTTCTTCTGCCTCTTGGCTGTGATTTCGTCCAGCTCTTTCTGCTCTTCCTGTAAAATAAAAAATAAATAAATAAACAAATACAATGAACCAATTAACCTGATCATTACCAAACAGATTTAGTCAGGGATACAGTTCTGCAGACAGACTGAGGTAACTGAAGTCAGTTGTCTCTCAATTGCGTCCCCTGGTGAAGGGTATAACTCAGGCCTACTCCTCCAGTTTTCCATGAGAGCATAGGGTTGTGTGGGGTCACATAGCCACTGGTAAGCAGCATGTGCCCCATTATGTGCGTCATTTACAAAACTGCAGTATACCACCAGATTACAAAGCATTTACACTGAATACTGACCCACATGATGCCTCTTAAAAGGCTACAGTTGAGTACCGCAGGTGAGTTGTTTTATGCTGTGCTGAAAGTTGTGCAGGTTAGGTCAATCAGTGAATGAAGCCCCATATTATGGTTTGTATTGCAACTACTAACAACACAGAAATTGTTCTTCTATAAGTGAATTATTTGCATCATGTTTAATGCCATGAATGCAAAATAAATACAAATGCTTTCATTTTTATCAACCATAGATTAAGCAGATTTGTGTCTGCATGTGTCTCTGTTGTACTGCACAACAATAGTCTAAACCTGGAGGGTGCTGATTTTTCTTGCCTTACTACCACATTATGTAGCAAGTCGGTTAATTATGTTAAGAACCAACCGTCTCCAACACTTTGCATTATATTTTGAACAAAGCATTACCTCTGATGGTTTAGCCACATCTTTCTCATCTGCATATTTCGCCCACGGCCCAAGGAAGTTGTCGATCTCTTCTGCATCTCCACCTTTGACCTTTTTTCTTTTCTCTGACTTCTTAGGTCCACTCTCAAACACTGTTAGCCCTGGAATATGAGCCAATAGACCATATGATTCTGAATCTCCCTTAAACAATATTTCAATGAAGACATAATAGATAGATAAAGTCTGATTTATACACTTAGATGCAGAAAAACACATTAGAAATAAGGGGCAATATGTGATTACCTTTATTTTTCTCCGCCTCATCTACTGCACCAATGTAGCTATTAGTGGATACGTGGTGTGTATCAACTGATGGATCCAAAGCATAACCTATTAGCAGAGTGGAGAGAGTTGTGAAAAGGTCATTAAAATTCAAACGGGTATGTATTGACCGCATCATTTAAACCCATCACAGGGGTCACAGATGAGCCTACCGAAGGTGGAGAAGGTCCTCCTTTGCTGTTCAAACATAAAGTCGTTGAGGTGAGCAGGTTCTGCATAGCCAGATAACATGTTCCTGGGGGCAGCCATCTGCTGGCTTTTAAATGGGTTGACTGGCCCAAACTAACAGAAAGCAACACAAGATCATTAATAATACTAAACTCTTTGTATAGTCCTTATGTTTAATTTGATTTCTAATAAGCAGGACTTCAATAATAACAGACTTTCTAATTTATGTAACAATAGTTGGCTGGATTAGTACATATACAGAGCATTAGATTAATTCCAGTGGGAAACTGGCATTAGAGAACCCAAGGCACATAAACCATGATTCAAAAGAGATAAAAACAAATCACACAAGGAAGCATGAAGTCTAGTCTCAAATTCAGTATAGAGGGTACGCGCATGATGTCACAGAATGCAGTTACGCTCACTGAGTGGCAAAAAGACGAGCAGCAGTGTTGGCTTGAATCAGCTAAAACACAAACAACACATCTAAAATGGCAAAGAGCTGGGCCACTGGTTCTTTGGTAAGCAGTTAGGATCACTGTCAAGTCCAACTGCCTTTAATGAGCAAATAATCACTTGTTTTACTCCCAGTTTGCTAAACGCAGCCATGGTAACAGATGTTTTGCCACTCAGTCCAGGGTGTTCTGCAAGGGGAAGTGACATCAACGCATACCCTCTATGCATTATACTATAAATCTCACCGGGATCTAGGTGACACCCACTAATAATAAAACTTACCTCTGGTGCAAACATGGTTTCAAATGTTGGATTATAAGTGACTTCTTTCAATGAAGGGTCCAGGTGTGTGCCAGTCTCCACAGCCTCCTAAAATGAAGACGTACACATCGGCAAACGGACTCACTGTTTGGCAATACAATGGCCGTTTGGTGAATCAGATGTTTGATAGATAAAACATAATACCTAAGGCGATATCTTTGACATAACGTTATAAATTTAGATTTACAAAATATCTCCTCCTGCTTGATACTTAATGTTTCCCGCTAACTCTACTAGTTTTATTTGGTAACGTCACCAACAACTATTACCGCTGCACAAAGAAATGATTAACGTTACGTATTCAGAATCTCCTGTTACCAATTGAAATCGTATGCCTCAAGACCATAATGTTATTTAAGCAACGTGTGATTAACAGTATCTAACTTTAACAATCAATTATAATGTTAAGCTAACGTTAGCAAGCTAGATTAGCTTACCTTAACGGCGACCTCGGGAGCAGAATTGAGAAGAGCCAAAGACATCGTTTGTCCAGACTGCAGAGGTTTAAGGTGAGCCGTGGCGTCTGGACTCACTGGGTCCACTTTCCCGACATTGCTTTGAGATTCAGACTCATTCTCTGAATCAGAATCGCTACCGTACGAAACGAGGGATGCGATGGCGGCAGACATCTTGGATGTTGTGAATTCGCCGGAAGCAGAAGGGCGGTACTTCCGCTGTGACAAAATAAGAAAAGTCTACATTAGAAAAAAGGTTCTTTTTAACAGTCTATGGTTCAGTCTTCATCACTATGACTTCAGAATTCAGTGTTACCCATAGACTTTGTAAAAGATGTTACCTAATTAATATACCTAGTAATATATATGGATTTTATAAGTTACTTTTATTTTGGTATGTACAAAAAATAGTAATGCTGTAGTGAAACAAAATTTAGTGTGTATTCAGGATTAGCCATAACTGAAACAATACTGTCAGAAACAATGTTAGAGCTGAAACGATTTGTCAATAAATCGATTTGTTGATCTATAGAAAATTAATTGGCACTGAACTGGTTCCGGATACTCTTTCTTCTATCACCTCTTACTGAATTTAATATCTTTGGGTTCTGGTCTGCACTTTGAAGATGGCACCACTTGGAAAATTATATGTATTTTTTGAAGTATTCAATTCTCACAATTTTAAACATTGTATACATAAAATAAATAACAATTGAATAATAATTCGCTTATGAATTTTTAACAAATAAATAAAAACACTGGTTGCACCCATAAACTCCTAGATCTATGGTGGTGTGTATTTTCTTTTTTTTTTTAATTCAGTCTTTGGTGTATAATCTTTGACCTTGTTGTAATTTATAGCAACTGTGTAAAAATTATATCTTAAACTATTAGAACAGGAACACACTGTACACTAATTTAATTTGTATTGTAGTGAATCTGATATTATCAAATTGTTGCACGGAAGATCGATTATTTGTGCAACAATATGACTTTTATGTACAGTGAGGGTTGGAATAATCAAATCGATGTCCTTCCCTGAAATCGATTGGACAGCGCAACGTGACGATTCGGGACAACCGGCCAATACTGCGAGCGCGCACGTTATCCGCGAGACTCCCACCAGCACATCAGTGGCATGGAACGCTTTCTCGCGCCCCAACAATAGAGTGGTAAGTACCATTATCATAGACTATAATGGGGATGTTGTCTTGCGAATAAACGTAATTTCGCAGCCGCTGCTTTGGAAAGAACATCTTTGTCGCATATGGGTAAAAGTGAGGGATATTCTCTTTGTGTTACGAAACCTGCAGTGAGCTTCACCGGACCAAGTTTAATGCCAATTTCACCAGCATACACCCCGAGATTCCCTTTGGAAAAAAGGTGCCTGGATTCGTCTCCGCCGCCGCCTCTTCCAACAGGAGTACATTTGATATCAGAGACAGGACAATCATGGATCCGACCCGGGGATTTAAATTCTTGGACACAGTGGCACGCTCTGCTGCTCAGTAAGGATGGAAAGAAAATAAGAGGAATTTTGACAAACGTATCAGGTAATATTCTGAACACTGTACTGAAGTCACATTTTATTTTATTTTTTACTTGAAATGTGACTTTAGTAGCGTCACGTTAACGTTATTGCGTGTCAGCACAGCAACAACTGAATTTAAAACCGAGTCACCATGTTGTAACATATTAGACTTAAACTGTAGCTGCCTGTCTAGTAACGGTGCTGGTAATTCAACACTGCCTGCCCATTACTGACTAACCACATTAACCCAAGTACACAGGTGACAAATGTGGCAGCGCTGACAACGTTAGGACTCAAAAGTGGTCTAAATCATTAAAAGTACCAATCGTATGTTTATTAGTGAGTAGATAAACCACAAATGCGTAACGGGACGGCTTGAAATGTGATAAATTGCGAGGCTCCACATCTGCAGGAGCTCCCGCGCAGCAGCGTCTTGGCACATTCAGTCTTACAGGAATATCATGTTGGTGAGAAACCGGAGAGCAAATATTTGCACTGCTCCGCACATTACCTAACGTTATAGCATCATGCCACGTATCTCACTCATCCTTCAAGGTTTTTTTAATGTGCAGCTGGGTTGTGGAGTTCCAGGTTTGTGTACAGTGTGATTAGGCGAACCGCTGGTATCTGCACGACGTGATTTAATTTTCCCACTCAGAATGCTTTGACTTGACTCCGAGAGGATAGGGGCTGGGGTCTATTCCAGCCAGCTTGGTTTGCAGTCATGGGGGATGGTAGCCTTCAACCCAGGGAAAATCATGCTTTGTGAAATTCGAAACCTTCTTTGTACTTGTGCAGTAAGAAGTGGGCATAAGGAACAGCGTCTTGTGACTGCTGTGATCCGCTTTTATATGGTGACAGCTCGAAGATATTCTATGCATTGCATGATGGTGCTGTAAGGTATGGGGCTTACATTAAGCCCACCATATTTTCTGCAGCCTGTCCATTTAAACCCAGCCAGTATATAGTCTTAGGATGCTGCAGGGAACACTTTTCTCTACAGTGAAGCAAGGAACAAATTTCATAGTTTGCCCCTCAAAAGACAATAAGAAGTTAAGTAAGAGCAGCCGGTAGTGGAAATTTGTGTTAAGATCTGTGGTTGCTGATGAATGGATCAGCTGCAGAACCATTGATAAAAGTCTGTGTGCGCTGCTGTGCTTGCTGCTTTTGACAGTAGATTAATGGGGCCAGTGTGAGCCTCTGCTGTATTGAAATGACATTCAAATGAAATGATAATACACAAGAGACTCAAACAAGGGCTAAGTGTGGTGTGGATGTAGTAGCGACTGCATGTGATGCGTACGAGCTGAAAGATTTTACTTATTTGTTGACTTTCTAATGAGGTAAAAATTACTTTCCTTCGAGTCAGGTCTTTATTGTCTCACACAAAGAAATTCTTCAAGTCTAGACACCATGCCAACATCAACAAACGGAAAGGGCTGATTCTTAAAACTATAGTTTGCTCAGTAAACCCACACTGTCTGGACCATGACCTAATGAATTGCAGAGAAGTCACATTTGATTAGAAGTCACATTTGATTTTTAATTTTAACAAATACATTTTTGATACATAGAATCTGTGCTAAATGTGCAGACTTTCCAGACAAGCCTAGATCATTTATATAGAAAATATATAGGTGACTGTAAATGAAAGCAGCTCCGACTCCTTCGACAAAATAGTCTGAGGGCCTTGCAGCTGTTAAATGCATCAGTCTGCAACAGTGGCATCCAAACTATCACATGACAGGAGTGGAAGCTATAGCCTAAGTTTCACGACAACTCAGAGGGAACATATGCATACACAACACAGCTGCCATATAGGCTGAATATAAAGTTGCCTTCAAGAGTCCCTCCCTAAAATGACATTTACAGAACCGGTGATTAAATTCACCCTCGCTCACCTCGGGATCGGCTGTGTGCTGAAGTATGCCTGCTGTGGTCACCACATCACCGCTATTGTTTCGTTTGAGGCAAGTTTCCCTAGTGGATTACGTCCTGGTCTTTTGTTTTTATACTTGCAGATAAACCTTAAACACAGGTGAAGGGTCCATCCGTATAAACTACTCTTTGATACATCAGTTTATGTAATAGTGCTCAGTTTCCCAGATAAATGACCTCTCCTACAGGTGTATTCCCAGAATAGATCAGAACATATTGCCGTGGTTTTATCTGATGCCGTTTGTGAACTCTGCTGCGAAGGATGACGTCCCTACACAGTTTGCAGTTCTCATGTTTTCCTCTGTGTTTCAGAGGCCCTCGTGATCGCAGAGCCTTGGCATGCCTCCTGTGGAGGCTTTTGGACCTCTCTTATTTGTTGACATTGCTCTGATCCTTTGCCAGTCCCTTGCTTTCTCGTGCTAGAAGAATATCTCTCTTTATGTAGTTCTCTTTTGTTTTTCTTTCCAGAGGTGGAGGAGGGCGATAGGAGGACACACAGAATAACATACGGCATAATGAAACTGTGTATAGAGAGAGAAAGAAACAGGGATGACAGTAAAATGAGTGATGGCTGCCTGGCACGAGGAGGAGGTGGGAAGAAGGTGGCCCAGGGGTTCTGGGAAAGGCAGAGAGAGAGAAATCTATGTGTGTGCGCAATGTGCTACGCCCCTTTACGTGCCGTTTACTGGAGCCACAGACAGACCTCCTATCTCCCAGCTGTTAGGATGCTCCAAAGGCTCCAACACACAGCAGCTATTGTTCTTCCTCTTGGCCAGGCCCACAGCTATATAATACTGCTTCTGTCCCTGGTCTGAACTGGCCTGACAGAGGGACACCGGGGCCCAGTTAGTCTGTCTTGACTGACGTTCCTTGTGTCTTAGTGCCGCTGCCTCCGCCACCTCCTCCACTGCTTTGTCCATATATCTGTCCACCCTTGGTTGAGAATTTTTTTTGCTCTCTCAGCGACCATGTCTCTCCTCATTTCTTTTCCCTTTTTCTTTTTTAACCCACTTTCTCGATTCCATATACTGTCCTCATTCTCTTTCTTGCACGTTACCATCACTCATCTTCTCTGCAGCTCCAGGGATAGGAGTTGTCATAGTGTGCCTAACCTTATGACAAGAGATTTTGTGTTACAGCAGATATTATTTGCCAAAACCTATTACTTTTTTTTATTGCTTTCTCTGGAACAAAGCTGGACACTAAAGTTAATTATATTGGGTGCAAATTAAATTGAAAAAAAACCCCACTTTTTTAAGGGCCATTTATTTTTCTCTGACCACAGATCACCATCATTTGATGGAATTTTCCATTTTCCGGGAAAATAATTTGTCATCTATCCATACAATATCATACAGGAAAGTGTTGCTTTATCTCATCTAGCCTACCTGTAAAGCCTTCCCACTGTCACTGTTTATCCACCTAATCTTTTTTCTTCACTCCCTTATAGTTGCCATTCTGACTCTTTCAGCCTCTTTGTTTCATTCTTTCACTGTCATCCAGGGTCTCTCAGCAAGTTGACAGGATATCTCTGAAATAGACCTGTCTGATTGTGTGTCTGCCACTGCCAACAGGGCAAAAACACAAAAGCTTCTCTGAGTATAGCACCGCTCCTACTCAACTACAGAAACTGAGCTTCATCTCCATATCTCTTCTGTCATTTCTGTCTTCCCCCTCTCTCTCACTCTGTTTCAAGTTGAAAGTACCACCGTTAGTTATTTTCAGTCTTTTTCTCAGACTTCTCTGTCACTTGCTTTGGTGTTTTTTCAGTTTGCCAATATACCTAAACAGCAGGTCCTTACTGTGATGCAGCACCTCTGCTGCAAACTAGTTAGACCACAGCTGCTGTGTACATACACGAGTTCTGTCACTCATCACCAGAACACTTTAGGCTCTGGTGTGTTTTAGAAAGGATTTGTGTTGCTTTTATAATGTTCACGGCAGTAGTGTTTCACATGGGCCAGTTGAAGCTTGGCAATTTGAAATGGTATGCTCCTGCTTTCCAGCTTTAAAATGACATGTTTGGGGTGAGAACATTGGTGTCATTACAAAGGTTGGGTATTGTTTCAATTTTATCGATTCTGATTCTACTTATCCAGTCTCTGTTCTGATGCCAACCCCTTCACCACAAATCATGTCAGCGCTCCGTAACATTCATCCACTTTCTCCTTGCTCATCTTCCCCTTCATGGCTAAAGTGAAAGGAGTTTCTGTACTAGAAGGGTGTCCCTGGGGACTTGTATCTAAGAAAAATATATATTGGAATAATTTGCAGGCATCATTAGTTGACCTTCAATATAAAACAGAATGTCAGCTCATCTGTATTTTTGTACCTCAGCTTGAGATGTTGCTACTGTTAGCGTTAGTGGTGTCAATGGTGTCATTGTAGCTGGGACACCCCAACACAATGGATATGGTGTATTCCTTCAGATTCACGCCGTGTTTAAGTAAATGCTTTGTCATATTGGAGCTGCTTCCTCATCGTTCTCTTTTTTTATTTTTTTGTTAATGAAGCTAAGCCAAACTTTTGAGTGTTTGCTGCGGTCCGCTATGGTCCAGCAATGTAAACAGAAGTATTCTCTTCTCACATGCTTTGTTACATACTGCGTAACAAATGACGTGATGTTAGGTCCTCATTGCAGGTCCTGGCAATTTAACTTTTACGGACAGTAAAGGGCTTACTTCAGGTCAATCAGGAGTACGCCAGAAATGAAAAATGAGAAAGTTAGGAACTGTTAAGCATATTCGAAATGCATGTGTCTTAAAGAATCCACAGTTCTTGGAAATTTGGTACAAATTTCAACTTGCAACAGGTTCTTGATACCCAACCCTATTTATCACATGTAGTTCAGAGCTGATAACACTGCTAAAACAGAAAGAAAGGTTAGGGGGGAAAACTGGACTTTCTCCTCATGGGCTAATAGCTGTTTCCTATAAACTGGATAAAAAAAAAAAAAAAAAGCCCTCACGGCTTGTCAGACAGTAATAGCCAGGTATTTGGAAACGAAGCACCGTGGTGTCCTGTGACTGACCCAGCTTATTGTCTCAGCTGCAAGCTGATGAACTACACAATGGGATAAACCAT